AAACCTGTCCCCCCAGGTACCTTCTTTTTAATGGAATTAATACATTACATCAAAGGTGTTCTTTATTAGTGTTTTGTTTTGGGGGATGTTTTTGTTTTTGTTGTTTAGTTTTTTTCCCCTCATCTGGTGATGTTTTCCTTTTTTGTTTAAAATTTTATATTGGTTTCCTTATGAAATTCCTAAAGTTTGTATACATTGTTTTTCACACCAGGTCCTTCCCCTTTTCTTTACCCATGCCTCCCTCCATGCATCAAATTGTGTGACCCTGCGATTAAGACCCCCCCCTCCCCTCCTTGGGTCCTTGTACTCATTTTGCATTAATTATCCTATACAGTATTTGTCCTTATGGGACTCAGTTAGTTCACTCAGCATAATTCTCTCCAGTCCTTCCCATGTTAGGTAGTAATATAAAAAAATCATTGCTCCTAGAATGCTGCATCGTGTTCCATTGTGTGAATGTACCATAATTTCCCATTCCATTCCCTTGTGGTTGGGCATTTGGGCAGTTTTCATGTTATTGCAATGGTGAATAATGCTGTTGTAAACATTGGTGTTCTTTAATTTAAAAGAAATACTGTGCAAAAATTGTTAAGCCATAGCCTCAGCTACAATGTAAGCACTTAGTTAGTGGTTAAAATAAACAAACAAAAGTAAAACAAAACCTCAAACTTCTTGCTGTCAAGATGGATTTGACCCTGTAATGAGTTTCTCATGAGAGGCGATTGCTCATCTTTTTCCCATGGAGCCACTAGTGGATTTGAACTACCAGAGAGGTGTCCCCTTTGGGTTAATAATGGAACTTCCTACCGACTACACCACGAGAGCTCCCTCAGTATCACCAGTAAGGGGTTGCTATTGTTGTGTACCATCAAGTCAGAAGCCGTCCGTAGCCGGCTCTCCAGCAGGTTTTCAGAGGCAGTTAATCTCATGAGAAAAGATTGCCCATCTTTGTTCCACAGAGCAGCTGGTCATCATTAATAATTTTAATTAATTTAAAAGACTTTCAGGATGTATGAGATGCTTTCTTGCCTGTGCTATATGTTGTTGTTGTTGTTGTTCTTGTTACGTGCCGTCGAGACACTTGCGACTCATAGCGACCCTATGTACAACAGCCCTAAACTCTGCTCTGTCCTGTGCCAATCACACTGTTTCTGACACACCCATCCTGATTACCCCACTAAATCAATCCACCTCATAGAGGGCCTTCCCCTCCTGCGCTGTCTCTCCACCCTCCCAAGCATGATGTCCCTCTCCAAGGACCCCTCCCTCCTTACAACCTGTCCATAGTATGCTAGACGGAGCCTCAGAATCCTTGCCTCCAAGGAGCCACCCAGTTTGACCCTTTCCAGGATTAATCTGTTTTTCTAGCAGTCCATGGTACCCTCAATACTCTTCTCCAGCACCACAGCTCAAAGACATCAATTCTCCTTCTATCTTCCTTAGTCACTGTCCAACGCTCTGATGCATAGCAAGTGATGGCAAAGACCATGGCCTGTATCAGACGCACCTTAGTCTCCAGACACTTTGAAAATCTACAAGTGTTGTTGAGGGGGAAAATAGAGACCCTCAGAGATCAGTAACATCTCAGGAACAGAGTAAGTGAAGATTTAAAGTCAATTGTGCAGATTATACTTCATATTCTTTCTAGTTATTAAATTTCCTCTGAAGTGTGTTTTCCATCAGTGGTGAAGAAGTGTAAAATCTGCTTAAGTATTTGGAGCTCCATACCTTTCATTTTAATATGACATTGGTTTCTATTAAGAAAACTCAAAGGAAAGTTACCTATCCTGAAATCCAGAGGCCGCTAATGCATCATTCTCCAGCCTAGAAAAGCAGCTTTGTCTGGACTTTTAAAAAATCCAGAGAAGCCATGTTTCATTCTTTCTTGAGACTCTTGCTCTGCTCCCAGTTCCCACAGCATAGCACATTTTCTCCAGAGGCCAGTGATCATTTGCAGGGAGCAGCTGCTTTAGCAGTAAACACCACAGTTGCTGGCGCTGGAAAAAACATCAGCAGCAAGCAAACGGCTTTGCTTTTCTGCTAACAGCATCTCTGCAAAAGCCCTCTGAAAGATAAAACTTTAGATTCACACTTATGTTAATAAAAATTAATGATCTGCTCTCTTCATTTAGGATATAATGTTTCCCCTAGAATAATATAGTACTACACATTTTATTGCACAAAAAATGGAGGTTTGCAACTCAGCAGTATGCATATCAATAATCATGACACCATTTTATTTTCTCTATGCCTTCATTGCCAAGAGAAAGGGTGGGGGAAAGCACCACCCTAGATTCATCTCAATCATTTTGAAGACTGGAGTCTCAGAGCAGCAGATTAAGTGCCATTTGCATTGAGACCTCTGTAATTGAGCAAATGCTTATTAAGCATCACTGTGTGTAAACTATGCATGAAAAGCTAGGCAATGTGGAAAGACTGGCCAGTTCCTACCCTCAAGGAGCTTAGCTCAATTCAGTAAATGTTGTTATATTCCTATACCGGTCAACCTCCTTCCCATGCAATGTTGGGTTGTGAGTGGCGTAAGACAAATCTTTTATCCACTGTCCGTAGGCATTATCTAACTTTCAAAATAACTATGCATTAGGAATTTGCATTCCTTTTAGTGTAGAAAGAGAGGCTATCAATGGATTTCTGTGTGAACAAGGAGGACATGTGTGAACCAGGAGGGTTAGATTGATGGTGGTTTGTAAAGGCACCAAGGGGAAAACATTCACAGGCAGTTATCTAGATGCCAGACATTAAGCCATTTTGATACAGTTTGTAGCTAAATGTTAAATATAGTATTATATAACTGGTTCCGCTATTTATTACATTTTTTTGACAACTTCCTGTGGCATTAAGTGTGCATTTTTCCACGTTACTTTTATTGGCTACATGATTTATTTAAACATTTCCCTTATAATTGAGGAAGGTAAGAAAAAGTGAGTATCAGAAAGGTACAACTCTATCAGTAGATACCATTAGCTATAAAGGTAGTTCTAAATACATGAAAAATTAAATATTCTTTGGCTATCAATATCCATAAAAATAAAATTAGAGATGTGATCTAATTTAATTTTCACAACAACTTTATGAAGTAGGTGCTACAATCCCTTTTACAGAAGAGGAAACATTTCTGTGTGATCGAGTATCTTGGCAAAACCCCAAAACTGATAGAATAAAGGAAAGAGTGAGGAGGAAGTTTGAGATTGGTTTTTGCAGTGGTCTCAACTTTAGTGCTTCAGACACATTGATGGATGAGCTCCAGTTTAGACAGTTAGAAAGCTGCTATTTTCATTTCATCTTTGAAGTATTCACTTCGATCCCCTTTCTCATAATAATTGTTGTGACAGAAAAAAATACTTTTTTTCAGGTGTGTTTTCAAAGATGTGTCAGGTGTATCAACAAATGTGAAATGTCAGGGATCAAAGTCAGACAGATCAGATACAGATTACAATAGATTAATCCTTTGAATAACAGAAATCATCAAGGCCTCATTTAAATATGAAGTGAATGGAACAGATCAGGAACTACATATTAAAGAGATTGAGGGGGGATAAGAACTCAAACTATAGTGACTATTTAAAATTAGATGAAGTAAAAGAAAAGATCAATTATGGCAATCATGATAGTTTGTGAGTGATAAAACTTGGAATAAAGGATTTAGAGTGTAAATATGTTTAAATTCTATTTGGGTAAATCTCATCAAGTTAAATACCCCAATGCATCTTGCACATGAGCAGATTGTGTTGATTATGCAGAAGAAAATGTTTCTGTACAACCAACCTAAAATTTGACTTAAAATGTAGATGTAGTCTTTGCCTCCTTGGGAGAAACAAAATTTATGCTGTGTAATAACTTTGACACATTTACAGAATCATGTTTAATGGGTCCTCCAGAGCCCTAGTGAATATAACAGTTTGGTCTGTTTTTGGAATCTGGAAAAGCTGTGGGAAATGCAACTTTAATAAAAAAGTTTTTGTACCTGACTCTACTGTGCTTTTAAAATTCACCAAAAGGTTCAAGGACTGTATGGTCTTTAAGAAATTTTTTTCAATTAACTATTTAGAATGATAGCATTTGAATTCATATTATGGTGAATATTAAGATTTTCTTAACATTTCCTAATAACATAGACATTATTGTTCATTTAATTTCAAGGATATATGTATAGTATGTTTTCTAAATTTATTTTCATTTATGTTGTTGAGAACATAGGCAGGAACACCGATTCAGCATTTCTGTATGTACAGTTCAATGGCACAGATTACAATGTACAATCATTTTCTTCCCTGTTTTCCAAATTGTTCATTCTCCATTAACATAAACTCATTGTCTTCTACTTTTCCTGTCTATTGTAGGTATAATTATCATCTTTATCTCATTTAGATAGTACTTACTGAAGCACAGTTCTTTTTTTTAAAAAAAGGTTTTATTATTTTTTGTGTGAGTACTGAGTGGTACAAGAGGAGATTGCCTCTCCTTCTCCAGCACTGTATCTGGTGGACTTGAACCATGTACCTCTGGGATGGCAGTATAGGTTCTTACCACTAGGCCACCAGAGCTCCCTTGAAGTACAATTCTTAAGGCAGGCACTCTTTACCAGTTAAACTGAATGTTTCGTTTAAGGAAATATTTCAGGAATATTTTTGTTTAAAAATTATCCCAGTGCAATAGCTTTAGGGTTCTTTCAAGTCAGTGATGTCACATAGGCTCTGGATTCCATGAGAATTTGAAAATATGTTTCACATTTTCCTCCTTTTGATCAAGATTCTGACAGATATAGGGCTTCTGCCCAAAATATTCAGTAATGGTAACTAGTTCTGGTTTTATGGCAAAGGAGACAATTGTTCATTGTAGCAATTAACCACTCATTACATTTCCTCCTTCATTTTCTGATTCTTCTTCCTATGTTACTCTAATTGAATAGAGATCAATTGTTTTACTTTGCTGTATAGTGTTTTTTTTACACATGCATTTCACTTTACTTTCCCAAACAGATAAACAATTACATCCTATATGGAAGAAGTCACCAAAATGCATCTGCCATCATTAAGACTGCTCCATCAAAAGTGAAGTTGGTTTTCATTAGGTAAGAGTAATCTATTTTGGTTTTTTAAATCGCAAAGCTCTTTTCTACTTATTTAAAATTAATTTGCTATAGTTTATCTAACAAAATCACTATATCTAAAATTAAATTTTTATACTGTTTATCAGTTTCTCTAGATCACTTTAAGAAAAGTATAGATTGTATTGTGATGTTTTCTTGTTATTGGCTTTGATTTTTATAATTGATCATTGTGATGAATGCTTGTATTTCGGTTATAAAAATGTTTTACTTCTTTGATCTGATTATCTCATATATAATAGATATAAGGAAGATGGGATACTTGAATTCATATGGCATGGCAAAGGGACCTGAATCATCAACCTAGTATTAAATTAGGGCATAATATCCAGAATTAACAAAAAAACTCTAAAAACTTAATTATTTTTTTTATTTTAATGAAAGTTTACAGACACTTTAGATTTCCATTCATATATTGTTGCACACTTTCCTCCCTACTCACCCCTTCCCCCAGTTGACTTTTCTCTTAGAAAAAAAATTCTTCCATTGTTATACAATCTTCCCCACCCTCCAAGACCACTTTACTATGCAGCTCTTATTCTGGACTCTTGTCATGAAAATAATACCTAATCATATATTCCTTTAAACAGTTATCTGTCTCATATGTTTCAATGCAGTATACAATATTTATCCCCTCTTTTCTTAAATTCTCCCCAACCCCAATGTCAGTCCCATTTTACAACAGTGGCACTATGCAGCATTTGTCCTTTTGTGACTGAGATATTTCACTCAGCATAATGTCCTCCAGAGTTACCCATTAATGTATAATATTTCATGAGTTCATTCTTTTTAAATGCTGTATGGTATCCATTATGTGAATATACTACAGTTTTTCTATTCATTCTTTTGTGTATGGGTACTTGGGTTGTTTCTAACTCTTTGCTATTGTGAACAAAGCGGTACTAAACATGGGTGTACATATATCTGCTTGGGTGGTAGTTCTGGTTTCTTTAGGGTATATTTCCAGTAGTGGAATTGCTGGGTCAAATAGAATGTCTATTTCCAACTTTTTGAGAAAGTACCTACTGTCTTCTATA